CGACATTAATAACTTTTCAGTGTCACAGTTAGCACAGTTTTGATGCAGGTCACATTGTCACCTGTACGTTCACTACACCATCACGATGTTAAAAATTAAATAAACAAAACACTCAGTAGCCGAGATATACATCCACACTCACTCACGGGAGACGAGGTACTGACGAGAGACGAGTGAGACATCTGTTTACTGGCAGCGAGGATGACAGGTAGGCTATGTCAACAACCTAACAAGCGCACGGTAGTTTGCGACGCGCTAACAATTTTTAATGTCGTTTGAACATATTTTATTTAGTGCGTATATACATTACAGTATGTCAATCTACGTATATTTTTAGTGTCTGTTAACTAATGAACCGCCTTTACGAAAATTCTACAAGTGATCAGTGTTGCTACCCTCGCCGCCATCTATCATGCGGCGCTTTCCAAATCTCTTTTCACCTCGTCTACCCTCCCCTTTCTTGTTTTATCTCAGCTCTCCTCCTCCTCCTTCTAACCTCCACTCCCATTTACTCTCTTCTCTCTCCTCTTCCGTCTGCTTTACATAGTTTATCACAGTTTAATTTATTACCAATTTATTTTCCTCCATCTCTTCCACTAATATCCCTCCTCCTCCTCCTCCTTTATTTACCGTTCTTTCATCCCCCCATCTTCTCTCTTCTCCTTTACTCCCTTTTTTTACTCTACTTCTCCATCCCCCAATCTATGCTCCCCTCTCTTTTTATTAACTCTACGTCATTTTCGGAGCCAATTATTTCCTCGGCCTGCACCTCCTCCTCCTCCTCCTCCTCGTCTTGTCAACATTGGAACACTAAACAACCACAACAAGGCAATAACACACGGGACACCTGTACTTTTCTTCTCAGGTATGGAGGGGGGCGGTGGAGGGAGGCGGTAGGGGGAGGTGGTGGAGGAGGGGGTAGAGGGGGCAGTAGAGGGAGGCGGTGGAGGGAGGCGGCGGAGGGAGGCAGTGGAGGGAGGCGGCGGAGGGAGGCAGTGGGGAGAGGCGGCAAAGGGAGGCAGTGGGGAGAGGCGGCAAAGGGGGGCAGTGGGGAGAGGCGCTTAACTCTTATCGAGTGGAAAATTGATGATGGATGGAAATTGTTGTTGTTGTGGTTGTGGATAAAATGTTGGTTGGTGATGATGGTGATGTTGATGGATAGGAGTAATGACTCACCGGGGTAGTGACTTGCCAGGGTCATGTGTCACTATCACCACCACTGACCCGTGTCATAAAAGCGTTACTGTCACCACCACTGACCCGTGTCATAATAAATGTCACCATCACCACCACTGGCCTCTCACTATTCCACCATCATTTAAGAGAAATTAACAAAAACCTCCCCCACCCAACTGACAGATAATAATACAATAAGACATTAACAACAAATTCGTAAAATTAAAATGTAAATCCTTTCGGCTTAACCCAGTATCCTACGCCCTCCTCGCCTCGCCATGGTCCATTTGCAGTTTACACACCTCACTCACACAAAAATTCCCAATAGGATTTTAACCTGGAAAGTTAATTTAGCATTATTGGGTTTATGAGAGAGAGATTTAGTCGTCAGGGGAGTGTTCCTGGTTTGAGGCATTAAGTGAAAAGCAGGAGGGGAGAGAACCACACACACACACACACACACACACACACACACACATTGATACAACTGACAAACTAAATACAGTTTGTTTATGGTGTAGACTCTGTCATTAACACACTAACAAGACCCTTAGTTAAGACTTGTGTAACTTGATGTCAAGGCACAAAGGAGGGCCCAGGTAGATCGGACAGTTTATAATCTACATTGACTTAATTCATCATTACTCTGGTACCCGTCACTACTGTGTAGACAAGAAGCAAATGGCATAAATGATACGTCTACTAAATAAGGATAATGTCAATAATACCCCCAAACAAAAGTCATTTATGCAACATGGATATAACCAATGACCTTAATATGCGTTACAAAACAGAGCCAAAGTCAAACCAACACGTTATGAAAAACTCCAAAACCTTCATCTACCTATAAAAAAAAAAGCACACCTCAAAACCACGAGAAAAGGGCACGAGAAATCACATCATCCAACCACAATCTCATTTCCAACATGAAAGTGGAAAATGCATGAATAAGGGATAAGCTCACATCGTAGGAGAATAATGGATGGAGAATTCTATTTCCCTGAGTCTACCCGAGGCATCACAGGGAAGGAAAGGGACCCACTATGTAAGGATTCTCAGGACAATTCGTAGGTTCAACTCACATAAAAAACTATTGTACAGAAGAGCAGGAAGTCAAAAATGGGCAATGGAAGGCGTGAAACTTAAAATTATAAGAGTTTCGAGTTTATCTGTAGGAGAAGTGTGAAGCGATATGATTTTGTTAAAGTTGTCTAATAAAAAATCCCGTTTTCTTTTTACTGTCTCGCTAAGCAGCAACTCGAGCGCCGATTGACTGAAATTTCTGGGTGGATGAATTCGTCGCTTGTCTCTCTCTACTCATGAACAGTTACTCATGAGTAGAAATGAATATTCCTCCGTTGGTGAGAAAGTGAGTCATGTGATATTTATCATCCTCGAGTAACGCATAATATAACTTACAAGTACACAAGAAATTGTCACTAAATTATTGTTTTTGTCGATTTAATTACCACCAACAAAGAAGATAAACGTTAACAATTTTAATCATTATAGTTTTTAAGGTTCTATATTTATCAAACACTACCTGGTGTGAGTACAAGTAATCAGGACTTGTTTTAGTACAAGATTCTCATTCCTAGACCAGCAAATTTCATCTAAGTATCCCCAACAAACAATTCACAGAAAACGAATTCCTCCTCCGCGTAACTCACTCACTGGTTCCCGTTTGTCAGGTACAGTACACACACAGCAGGTAATCCATTAACAAAACGACCTGATCTGATTCGCTAAGCCATGAAACACGAATCACAGTGCACCATGATTGCTTTAATTACCACTCGTCTCTCATTGCTTAGCGATATACTGCGCGTCACAAAAAGATACCAGACAAAATCCTTATTTGTGGCTTTTAAATTATACGAAATTCACAAATCGCATATTAATTACATTACTATTCACCAAATCACTTTATAATTATTGTATCACAAAACACAAATTACACGAAATCATTAGGAAGTCTAATCAGGAAATATGTCCATCTACCTGTGAATCACTAATTAATGTCTATGCCTCTTAATTACTTATACATCACCTAATTAAACCACAATATTAAATCACGCTAATTAATTAAAGATAATACAGAATAATTTTACCTTGTTATAGAGGATTGAGAGACCCGTCACACCATGCGTCACACTTCAAGGTCGACTACCGTCACACTTCAAGGTTCATATACTGTATTATTATAGCCCCTCACACAACACTGTCACTGCCTCCCTGCATCTGGTTATCTGTCCTGCATGGCAGTGAACAGTGATATCACCCACATGACTCTGACCTATATATACTGTTAATGAATATGTTGTAATTCTTTGTGTATGAACCTCTGTCCTGCGTGGCAGTGAGAAGTGATACCACCCTCAGTGTCAAGACCTGACTGAATTACTCAGAATAGGCAAACTGTACTCCAGGCTTTGTCAATAAATTTGTTAAACTAAAAAATTATGAGGATGAGTGGTAAACTAGGGAGGTTGTCGGCGGTGGCACCGGATGTGGAGTCCGATCCTTGACCTGCAGACTCCAAGCACATAGGGCAGGACAACTCCGGGTTGGGTGGGAGGTCTCTGGGAGCACGATTGTGTCTTCTTTCCCTACGTGCGCATCTGGTCTTGTGGACGTCCCAAGTCGCAACTGTGAGGGGAAACTGTTCTTTACCGCATTTCCAGTTGCCCTGACGGCCACGGTGAGCCGTCCAGGTGTTGACGGAAAATGCAATTTTTAGGTCTCCTTTTCTCTACCCTTCCCCGTCAGGGGTAAGCAACGGGCTCCCTGAAGAGGGCCTCTCAGGCGTACAGGAAACTTCGGCCACATTTTCGGCCTGTCCCCGTCACTCTATCCCATCGCATCAGGACTTTAAAGTTGTGTTGATGAAGATGGAGATGAGATAATGAAACAGGATTAACAGTTTAGTCCTGATCACCAAGTTCCAGTGGCAAGAGAGGACTCAAGACGCCCTTCAGGTGGCCAGGATTACAGGGGACTACCTGAGCTCCAGGCAGCCGGAGTCTGCCTGACGCGCGTCACCCAACTGCGGCTTTGTGTAGGGTGAGCTCCCCAGTTTTATGTCCTCCTTGACAAATCTATAAGGCAATGGGGGGGGGTGCAGTGGTTGGTAGGCATCAGGGCGTGTCCGCACGCCGGCGGGCCTGCACACCGTACCTCTGGAGCCCACTGCTGCTCCGAGATCCCTTACAGAATTTGCCTGAGGTTGCAAGATACCCAGTTACCGTGAGTTGCCACGAAGAGGCACTGAAGGGTCTTGGTGATGGAGAGGCTGTGTACCAGCAGGGAAGAGACTTACGCATTCTGCTCTCCCCTTTCACCATAGGGGTGAGCAGCTGAAAGCGTAATAGCGAGCAGAGCTTTGCACTGGACGCATCACACCACCCTGTGAGTAGCACCCACCAACACAAATAATTAGTAACTATCAACTAAATGTTAGATAACTAATTAATTATTAACTATCAACTAAATGTTAGATAACTAATTAATTAGTAACTATCAACTAAATGCTACACAAGTAATTAATTAGTAACTATCAATTAAATGTTAGATAAGTAATTAATTAGTAACTATCAATTAAATTCTACACAAGTAATTAATTAGGAACTATCAATTAAATGTTAGACAAGTAATTAGTACCAAATCAGACGATTCTTTGGACATAGTAAAGTATTAAGTAACAGTTTATCTAATTAATAAATGAACTTATGTAGAAACACTTACCGTCTATACACGTAATATTCAACTAAACAACTACAAAAATACACTAAATACTAAGGATAAACTACAGTAATACAACTACAATTCATCTTCTGTTTATTATCAAAAGATCATTACAGTGTTGACCTCTCCAATACATAAGAGCTGAGACATCAAAAACACCTACCTATGTAAACTAGACGAGCCCCTGATCTGACCACAGTAGGCTGGGCAGGTCAAGCCAGGTAGGTCATCAACCAGGTAGGTCATCAACCAGGTAGGTCATCAACCAGGTAAGGAATCTTCTAGGTAGGTTAAGTAGGTCATCTTTTAGGTAGGTTCAGCTAGGAAGGTCAAGTCAGGTAGATAGGTAGGTAGGCCATACTCTTGGTAGGTCATCTAGAAAGGTCAAGCCAGGTAGGTAGGTCATCTTCTAGGTAGGTTCAGCCAGGAAGGTAAAGCCACGTAGGTCATCTATGCAGGCCAGCTAGGTAGGTCAGATAGGTAGGTTATACCAGGTAGGTCAGTCAGGTAGGCCAGTAAGGTAGGTCACACAAATTAGGTCAGCCAGGTAGGTCATACCAAGTAAGTTAGTCACGTAAGTCAAATAGGTAGGTCAGCTAGGTAGGTCAGAGTGGTGGGTCAAGCCAGGTAGATAACACCAGGTAGGGGAGTCAGGTAGGTCACACTAAGTAGGTCAGTCAGGTTGGTCAGTAAGGTAAGTCACAGGAGATAGGTCAGTCAGGTAAGTCAGCAAGGTAGGTCACAGGAGATAGGTCAAGTCAGGCAGGTCAGCCAGGTAGGTCATTGGTCAGCCAGGTGGGTTACGGGCACTTCTCCAGCTCGAGTTGTGAAGAAAAAGGAATTCTATTGTTATCACTGTTATACCACTCTTAACACAGCTATGCCCTCGTTATACCACTCTTAACACAGCTATACCCCCGTTATATCACTCTTAACACAGCTATACCCCCGTTATACCACTCTTAACACAGCTATACCACAGCCAGCAGATAGATATGCCACAACCCCATTATAGTTATACCACAGATAAATTTAAGCTGTGGTATCTGATCGAGCTGACAGGTGTACCAGGGCTATAGGTGGTCTGAGGAGGCTATAGGTCACTGGCTGTCAGAAACACACCTGGTCAGTCTAATCCATTCAGTCTAATCATCAACACAACTGGTCAGTCTAATCCATTCAATCTAATCATCAACACACCTGGTCAGTCTAATCCATTCAGTCTAATCATCAACACAACTGGTCAGTCTAATCCATTCAATCTAATCATCAACACACCTGGTCAGTCTAATCATCAACACAACTGGTCAGTCTAATCCATTCAATCTACTCATCAACACACCTGGTCAGTCTAATCCATTCAGTCTAATCATCAACACACCTGGTCAGTCTAATTATCAACACACCTGGTCAGTCTAATACAGTCAGTCTAATCATCAACACACCAGGTCAGTCTAATCATCAACACACCTGGTCAGTCTAATCATCAATACACCTGGTCAGTCTAATCAGTAAAATACATGATGGGAAATTGTTAATAATTCTCCAAACTTCACCTGACTTAACCTCTCCTTACCATGAATAAATAATACGGACCAGGCGTCTCTCCACAAGAGGTAAAATCGGGTTGAGTTCATGAGGAATTATAACGAAATGAAGTGACCTAAACACAGGAAAAAACTAAATAACCCGGTGAAAACATATCCTGGTAGACCACCATGTCCAGCCTACCGCACCTACAGGATGATAATGATGACAATAATAATAATAATAATAATAATAATAATAATAATAATAATAATAATAATAATAATAATAAAACACAGTACAGCTTTGTCAGGCAGGTGGTAAAGACATACTGTGCATACATACATAGCCAATCATGTAAGATCACTAGAGGGTCGTCAAAGCTACTGATATGAATTTACCACAATAACAGTGACATTGTGTCAGTATATATATGCAGTATATAGTGAGTGTATGTATACATCAACATTTTAAAGTAATTTGTACAAAGTTCACATGAGATAAAAGTGGAAAAAAGTCCTATTTTTTCACTTAGAAAATGATGAAGGTTGATCATGGAATGAGGAACTCTTCAGTGTAAATATATTATATACAAGAGTTAGGATTCCTTCATAGTAAAAACAGGAATTCATTGTTTTACTATAAGTTGTATGTTATAAAAACTAAGACCTAGTGAACGATGCTAAACAACCCTGGTAGTTGTAGCACCTTAAAACTAAATCCTAGTGAACGGTGCTTAATGACCCTGGCAGTTGAAGCACCTTGAAACTAAGACCCTTCTCCAAACTCACCAACTCATACACAACCCCGTCAACCACTAACCCCAGGCAAAGAAATTTCTTACCAGATCCGTGACAGACCCTTGGGTGAAGAGGCCGCCGGTCAGTAAAGCTCACCTCCCCATACCACAACACGTGTAAAATGAGCCTTACTGAGGGTTGGGAAAGTCACGGATCTCTATGTCGAAAGAAAACGAGAAGTGGATCTGCCAGTCGAAAGAAAACGGGAAGTATTGTTCTTTAAGGTCAGTGGTACCTAACAAGAGTTTGTTCCTAGCAAAGAGGATCCTAGCAAAGAGGAACCTAGCAAAGAGGATCCTAGCAAAGAGGAACCTAGCAAAGAGGATCCTAGCAAAGAGGAACCTAGCAAAGAATCCCTGAAGTGGGGATTCTAGCAGATAGAAATCTAATAAGGGAAGATCCTAGAAAATTGGGTCCCAGCAGAGAAGATCAGAGCAAATTGGAACCCAAGGAAACAGGATCCTAGCAGAGTAGATTCTAGCAAAGAGGATCCCAGCAGAAAGGATCCTAGGAGAGGGTTTGTGCCTAGCAGAGGTACACAGTAGCACATCATAGGAATTTCTTCTTCTTAAAAGATAAAATAAATCGTGATTCATTTATCTGTACAGAGTAAAAAAAAAACCACAGTTTACATATTACTAAACTCCTGGGTGAAATAAAAGGAACATTATACAAGTGATGGTAATGTGAGATTATCAACAACTATAATTAATTCTTATCCTATAACAGACAGAAATATTCATTGTATATACATAATTACATATGATACCCATCTTCTGTGATATACCCATTACCCATTTTCTGTCATACAATCATGACCCATTTTCTATGATACACCCACTACCCATTTTCTACGAGACTCCAACTATTGTTCACGTTTTCTGTTTTTATAGAAAATGTGATGAAAGCAACAGCCACATATCAGGTGACCTAATGCTATATATACATGCTATCGTATTTTAGAAAGGAAGTCTCGGTTCACACACACATCAATTTATACACGAAAAGTACCGACATTACAAAATAGATTCAAGAATACAGCAGTAGGTAGAGACATACGCCAAATACAGTACACAGATATCATAGTGGAATTCTTAAATGTGTTAACACTCATCATAAATATCAGGTCAATTATATATATACACTTCCATTACTTTAGATACATTTCTTTGCTTTTTACACATGCACACACGCACGCACATACGCATTAAAACAGTGTTATTTTTTTTTTATTTGGGAGAGGGAAATGATATGGTAGTACTCGTAATTTGGATAGTTATTCATATTGTTTACTTCCTACTTCCTTTATCTATGTTTTTCCTGTATCTTTCTTCTCCAAAAGGAATTACGTGAGATAATGTATACAAATGGATGAAATTTTTTAACAACATCGATTTGGTTTTTTTTTTTTTTTTCCTAAACGACGCGAGTTGACTAAACGTAACCCAATCTAACCACAATCTATTCAAGGACCCGTTGGTTAGTTTAGGTTGGGTTAGGTTAGGTGATTTGTTTGGAAGGCTTTGGGTAGGAAAGGTAAGGTTTGGTCAGGATTTGATTTGGGTAGGTTAGGTTAGATTAGGTTACATGAGTTTTTTGTAAGGTTGGTTAGAAAAGGCCAGGTTTGATCAGGACTTGGTTTGGTTTGGTTTGGTTAGTTTAGACTAGGTTAGGTGAGTTTTTGTATGATTGGTTAGGTAAGGTAAGGTTTGGTTAGGACTTGGTTAGGTTTGATCAGGTCAAGATTAGTTCGGATGGTTAAATTCATGTCATGTGCTTCAAAAAAGGGTATTCTTACACTGCTGACCTGACTATTCTTATTTTCACTTCTCCTTTAGTGTGACGTTACGACACAACAACATTTACAACACATACTTGTATCAACTTCCCTGGGGTCTTCTTATACCAGTGGTGTGACCTGACGACACAACAAACCCCTCCCTCATGTGGTGTGACCTGACGACACAACAAACCCCTCCCTCATGTGGTGTGACCTGACGACACAACAAACCCCTCCCTCCTGTGGTGTGACCTGACGACACAACAAACCCCTCCCTCCTGTGGTGTGACCTGACGACACAACAAACCCCTCCCAATGGATCCGGGTTAGTGAGACCGTGGAATAGTTTTATGTAGATATTGCAAAGGACAAGAAACACACACACACACACACACACACACACACACACACACACACACACACACACACACACACACAAGTTCCCCCTAAAACACTGTAAGCCTGTTGATGTTGATGTTGCAAAAGAATTGACACGCGAATCTCCCCCAAGAACGCCGTAAGAGTGTGTGGATGGTGATGTTGCAAGAGACAGGACTCATGCAACACCTACTATGCCCATTGATGTTCTAAGACTATTGTGATGACTGATGACTGACTACTCATAAATTTGTGTTGTGAAAATGGTCCTCTTTGGTCAGCGTGAACAGTGCATTAGTACATAAAGCATAGTTGAATTCACCAGTACACTTTTTCTTCAACAAAAGCATAAATAACACAATTTTTCGTTATATTACCTACCTATACCTGTATAGTGCCATTGGTCATTAAGTGAGAACAGCTAATACAACCAAACAAATTGTATCAGGGACCAGTGTTATGAATACCAACGTTATAAAGGAGTTTCTGTGCTTCCCAAATTCATGTATCGTAATTTTAGACTATACAAATGACTAGCGTTATAAAGCAGGTTTACTTCATACATTTGACTTTTTTCAGAAGTTTTTACGAGAGTTGCATCGTAAAAACATATAAAAAAAATCTTTTACTTAACGCAATTTTTAACTTCATGAGAGTGACCTCATCAAGGCAATTTACATTGGAGTTGGAGGAAAAGAACTTTTGCATCACTGTATAATTTAGTCAAATGAGAATTTTTTTTGCCTCGCCCTGTATATCTTGTCATATTAAGTGAACTAGAATTAGAATGTTTGTTTAGGAATTAGAAGCGTGTTGTGTACACGAGCTTCAAAAACGTGCTTTATAATGTGTGAACTGGACACGAAAAAACACTATTATTCTCAAAGTTACCAGATTAATACACACCATCAAAACATACACAGGGACACTACACGGAGATAATACAAGAGGTAGTTAATACGACAGTGTACAGTATGGTATAATACTTGTATACTTTTGGTTGTTATTATTAGCCTCTCGTTTTTGGTCTAATATTTGAGCTTATTAATAACTTTAGTCACATCACGTTGTAAGGTTATATCTCCAACGTTTAATATAACTCATTTAGTCTGTGATCAGGGAAGAACAGTTCTTGGTATAACATGTTCCAAATGTCTTACGAATTGTATGGGTCTTGTTAGTGTTCTCTTCTTAAGTTCACCCAATATGACTTCATTTAAAAACTTATATCATATGAGTGATATAAGGACACCTGTAGAACAACTTATAAAGGTGAGTTATAAAAACACCTGTACAACTGATATAGAACACCTGTTATACCTGAACAACCCTCATGTAAATACAATTGTTCAGGATGAGAGACACACACAACTGTTCACGGTGAAAGAGACACACTCACACTACTAGTACCAACTCTTATTTGATTTTGTGCGTTTATTTGGTTATGTCTTCGGTAAACTAGTTTTGAGTGATGGTTGTGTGGTAAAAGGTATTTCTGCTTCTGCCTCTTTACCGTGTCCAGGCTTGTGGCAGGTAGCACACACGTTCCTGCTGGTGCTTCAGGCTTGTGGCATGTCATACATGTTCCTGCTGGTGCTTCGAGCTTGAGACAGTATCTCATGTTTCAGGGCCAGCCATGTGGCAGTTAGTACGTATGCCACTGTTTTTATGGTAGTCAAAATTTACGTCTCTGTCACTGTTCCAGGGCTGTAGCAGTCAGCACTCATGCTCCTGCTCCGGGCTGGTGAGGGCGTGCTGGTAGCTGGGACTCTTGACGTAAGTGGAGAGGGTTCGAATGGAGCATGGCGTGGCTACTGCCGAGGGCGCTGGACCCCCATAAGTCCCCGGCATGTTGTCCGACATGGAATGAGACCTCACGTGACGGTGGTCGAAGTTGTAGTCACACCTGAGGATCTTAATAAAAGCGGCCTTGAAGGTACGGTTGAAGATGGTGTAGATGATGGGGTTAATAGTGGAGGACACGTAGCCCAGCCAGAGACACACGTTAGCCAGGTGATCCGAGACGTGACACGTCGGACACGCCGCGAAGTAGATGTTGAGGATGAAGAAGGGCGTCCAGCATATGACGAAGGCAAAGAAGACAAGTCCGAGCACCTTCGAGGCTTTCTGCTCGTTGGCGACGGCGTTAGCAGCTAAGGCATCACGCTTTTTTGTAGGTAAAAAGCGGAGATGCCACGCGGCCGTTCCTACAAGCTGTAGACGAAGAGCTTTTAACTTGAAGTTCCTGGTCTCCCGAGCGATGGACTCCGGTGTCTGAGTCGCCTGTTCACATTTGTGTATGTTGGAGAACTCGTAGTGTCCGGCGTGACCATTGGAGTAGGACCCCCTGTACGAGGTTCTTGGGGTGAACGCGAAGGAATGTGGCGGCTGTTGGGGTTTCCGGCGAACAGAACGGTACCTGCCCATAGTTCGAGCCTTGCCCGCCGGAGCGTCCCCAGCGAACTTGGCTTTTTTCCTAAGAAGGTGAACCGTGAGGGCATAACTGACCACCATGATCACCATCGGGATGTAGAAGGCGCAGAGGGAGCCAAAGATGAAGAAGGCCTGGTTGTTGATGGTGCACAGGTAGTCGACTGGCATGATGTTGGTGGTGTCAAAGATCCCCAACACAGTAATGAAGGAGGTGACTAACATCGCCAACAGCCACACCAGCACCACCTTCACGCCCACCGTCTGCAAGAACACACACCTCGTCAATACGTCACATCTTACAAAAGTTACTCATAATGGTCATAGACTGAGCCCCTAAAATAGCTCTTGATATGACACCGGGTAAATATCAGGTATCACAGAATCTATAGCTGCTAATTAACTTTATTTTATCTATACCTGGAGTGAAATAGATACACCAAGACAAGATGATATAAGCAATGATCTCTTAAACTACGTGACAATTAACCCTCAAAACTTCTTTAGTGTTTCATTGATTCGTAAATGTCACCCTTCCTGGACTGAACTAATCCTAGAATTCAACACTAATTTTCATCATAAAACCATAAATTCGGTTAGGTTAGGTTAGGTTAGGTTATGATTGGTAGAAGTTGGTTAGATTAGCCTACTGGTACGTTAGGGTACTGTTGTAGCTGTAGGTTATAGGTAACTAAATCATAGAGAGAGCAATGCCTACCACCACCACCACTCACCTTCTTACTACTGCTCCTGGTCTTGAGTGGGTTACGGATGCCCAGGTAACGGCCGAGGGATATGGTACACATGTGCATGATGCTGGAGGTACACGCCAACACGTCACACGACACGTAGATGTTGCACCACACCACCCCGAACGGCCAGTAACCTGTAGAGAGAAACATACGGACTCATAAATTAATCAGTCGTGACATTGAAACTCAGAGTACAGGCAGTATGAGGCGCTTGTATTGAAGTTAATGGTTTTCCTTTAATAAATAATTTCTTTAGCATCGTGGTGTTGCTGATGACCAGGTGAGTGACCGTGGTGGTGCTGATGACCAGGTGAGTGACCGTGGTGGTGCTGATGACCAGGTGAGTGACCGTGGTGTGCTGATGACCAGGTGAGTGACCGTGGTGTTGCTGATGACCAGGTGAGTGACCGGTGGTGTTACTGATGACCAGTTACTGATGACAGGTGTGACCGTGGTGTTACTGATGACCAGGTGAGTGACCGTGGTGTTGCTGATGACCAGGTGAGTGACCGTGGTGTTACTGAGTATAACATGAGAGATCTCAATGAATCTGACATACAGGTGAAATTAAGAAAGAAAATAATAGCGTATATATAAGTAACGACATAACACGAGTACAGATTATCCCAGAACTACACAGAGGTTCCCAGCACGTATCGCTTACTCTTCCCCCCAACCTCCCTGACCAGTGTGACTTCACATGGCCATCAATTCCAGAATTAAGTCTTCAGTAAATTTCATGTCAATGATATTACACCAAACCCAAAACTTAAGACTAATAATATTTTAGTAATTTATTCAAGAAAACGTATGTATGTATGTATGTGTGTGTATGTATGTATGTATGTATGTATGTATGTATGTATGTGTGTG